AAAGGGATGTTCCCTACCCAAGTGGGTATTAATGAGCTCAAACCCAGCTCTGGGTATGCGTGGTACTCGCGTACGGGGCCGTGAATGTTTTTTTCGGGTAAGTTGATAACTCGAGAGCCGAAGGAGCTAGAGGACTAGAACTTTAACGGGATGTTTCCCGTCCAAGTTAGTTCTGCATGAGTTCTAGCCCAGTCCTCGCGTGTGCGGCGTACTCATGTGTGGGCCCGTGAAAGTTTTTTCTCGTTTAAGTCGCTAACTCGGGAACCAAAAAAGTTAGAAGGCTGTAATTTTAAGAAAATGTTCCCTATTCACGTAAGTATTAATGAACTCAAAACTAGCGCCCGGGTGTGAGTGATTCCCAAGCATGGGCCTGTGAAGTTTTTTCGGGTAATTTGCTAACTGGGGAACCTGAGAAGTTAGAAGACTGCAATTTTGAAGGAATGTTACCTGACAGTCCTGGCGGCTAGTCTGAAATTCTTTTAACTAGGAGCATCTGCCGAAAAAAATAGTGTCATGTGCGACAGGAGAGTTAAGCAAAAAACGCATCTTCACACAGGCAGCCCGTGCGTGGCCAATTATTATTTTTGATGAACTTGTATTATGTGGAAACCCACAGCAGTCACTCACTGCAATAACTCCTTTAAATAGTGCATTGTACCTGTTGTGAACTACACGACAAACAGTGTTGCTATGCTCGTAGCGCGTCCACTTTCTCACTGCTTACCTAAAGTAGTGCCTTATTTCTGCAATGATCTTCAGGAGTGAAAGTTTTAGGGCGATAGTGGCGGTGGCGTAATGGCACAACTAGACGATGGCCGCTGGGTAGCGCTTGGTATTCATGTATTTAGCCACTACTGTAAGCTGTTGCCTCCCGGAAATTATACACCAAAGAAGCAAGGCCATACGAGTGTTGCACTTCATGCAGCTGATATTGCTCGCTTTACTGGCTTCTTCTTACCAATGGTGCATTTTTGACTCTGCGAGTGATACTTGATATGTAACCTTATAAATTTACAAATTTTTTTCTAGGTGCTCTCATTTCCTGATAAATTTTTCAAGGAAAAAGCGGCTTTAACAAAACTACAAAGATATACTGACGATTGCTCGCTCAATTCACACTCAGTTTGAGAAAAAAAAATTATTGGCGACGTGCACCGGGCGGTGCGCTTTTGCGGTAGCTCGTGCTGTTCTAAGATCGTTTAGAATCACAACAGCCAGAATTTATGACAGACTGGTCCTCAAACTTCAGAAAGTTTATCGCGCATCTACCATGTCTACTTGGGAAGGGACATTCTGTTAAAATTTCAGCTTTCCAGCTTTTGTGGTTACCGAGTTAGCATTTTTCCCGCCAAAAAATCTAGCGAGGCCACACTTGTGGAGCACGCATA